GGGATGGTTCTTACACACGTCACATCATCATGAAGAATATTTTGATAGTTTGAGATGCTGAAAAGCGAGGACGCTTACCTGGAAAATGATCTGTTATCAAGTCAATCATGAAAACAAATGTCTTAATTAAAAAATATGATGACTGGTGACCGTGGTGTTCACTGATGTGACACTGATTTACAAACATCACTTCATGCTTGAAATAAAAAGGACATGAAGTAAAGTTAACTTCTGCAGATGAAGGTCAGCTGTCCTGCTGCTCACTTAGATCAGCTGTTTGAACCCAGTCTCTGTTTAAAGGTCATGACCTCCTGATGACCTGCCAACCTGCTCTGTGTTGTTCACATGTGACCCAAAATAAAAAAAAACCATAAATAAATAAATAAAAAATAAAAAAACCATAAATACATTAAAAAAACATTAAAAAAAACAAAAAATACATAAATACATAAAAAAAAAAACCATAAATACATTAAAAAAAAAATACATGAATACATAAAAAGAAACCATAAATACATAAATAATAAAAAAAAACATTAATACATAAAAAAACCATAAACACAAATAAAAAACCATAAATAAATAAAAAATACATGAATAAAAAAAAACCATAAATAAAAAAACCATAAATAAAAAAAACCATAAATAAAAAAACCATAAATAAAAAAAAACCATAAATACATAAAAAAAACATAAATACATAAAAAAAAATATAAATACATAAAAAATACATGAATAAATAAATAAAAACATAAATAAATAAATAAGTTAAAAAAATACATAAATAAATAAGTAAGTAAGTAAATAACTAAATAAATACATAAATACATACATAAATACATAAAGAATAAATACATACATAAATAAATAAATAAATACATAAATAAAGGTGATGTGTTGTCCCCAGTTTGCCAGTTTCCAATCATTAACCTACCAGCAACGGGAAGGTGACATAAAACCAGTTCATCTCTGTTGAACTGGGATGTTTTAAGTTAAGGTGACCAGCAGCTAACTTCACCTCATCAACACATGACAGACAGAAAAGAGCAGGCTGTTAACGCTTCTTACCTGTTGTAATGCAGATGCTGAATCCAAAGATTTCCTCACCTGCAAAACGCTGTTTGTTAAGCTAACTGTTAAACACGCACCTGTCCTGCTGCTATGGCTAACACGTCACCGCGACGCTAAACCAGCTTTTCCTTCGTCCCACAAACTGTCCAGTCCGCTTATAAATCCGCGGAAATATTCCAGTTACCAGTTTCCATCTGGAGGTTTCGACATTTGGCGACAAAAAAGGCGAGTCGACACACTCACCTGTGCGGAAACGGGGACGGCTAGCTGATACTGAGGGCAGGTTGATGCGGGGAAAACGGTGCCTTCAGGGTCGACTCGGAAATTCCGGCGTTAACTTCCTCTGTTACCTAAAGTACGGAGGAGTATCAGGGCCGTGGAAATGTTTTTTTTTTTTTTTTTTTTAGTTGTGACTTGTTTTCTCTGATTTATGAGTTTAAAATCAGAATTGTCAGGGTAAAAAACCAAATAAAAAATAAAAATAAAATTCAAGTGGTATCTTATAGTCTAAAATAGTATCTTATAATCTAAAATAGTATCTTATAATCTAAAATAGTATCTTATAATCTTATAATCTAAAACAGTATCTTATAGTCTTATAGTCTAAAATAGTATCTTATAATCTTATAGTCTAAAATAGTATCTTATAATCTAAAATAGTATCTTATAGTCTAAAATAGTATCTTATAATCTAAAATAGTATCTTATAATCTAAAATAGTATCTTATAGTCTAAAATAGTATCTTATAGTCTAAAATAGTATCTTATAATCTTTTAGTCTAAAACAGTATCTTATAATTTAAAATAGTATCTTATAATCTAAAATAGTATCTTATAGTCTAAAATAGTATCTTATAATCTAAAATAGTATCTTATAGTCTAAAATAGTATCTTATAGTCTAAAATAGTATCTTATAATCTTTTAGTCTAAAATAGTATCTTATAATTTAAAATAGTATCTTATAGTCTTATAATCTAAAATAGTATCTTATAGTCTAAAATAGTATCTTATAATCTTATAATCTAAAATAGTATCTTATAGTCTAAAATAGTATCTTATAATTTAAAATAGTATCTTATAATTTAAAATAGTATCTTATAATCTAAAATAGTATCTTATAGTCTTATAATCTAAAATAGTATCTTATAGTCTAAAATAGTATCTTATAATCTTTTAGTCTAAAATAGTATCTTATAATTTAAAATAGTATCTTATAATCTAAAATAGTATCTTATAATTTAAAATAGTATCTTATAATCTAAAATAGTATCTTATAATTTAAAACAGTATCTTATAATTTAAAATAGTATCTTATAATCTAAAATAGTATCTTATAATCTAAAACAGTATCTTATAATTTAAAATAGTATCTTATAATTTAAAACAGTATCTTATAATTTAAAATAGTATCTTATAATTTAAAACAGTATCTTATAATTTAAAATAGTATCTTATAATCTAAAATAGTATCTTATAATCTAAAATAGTATCTTATAATTTAAAACAGTATCTTATAATTTAAAATAGTATCTTATAATCTAAAATAGTATCTTATAATCTAAAATAGTATCTTATAATTTAAAATAGTATCTTATAATCTAAAATAGTATCTTATAATTTAAAATAGTATCTTATAATCTAAAATAGTATCTTATAATTTAAAATAGTATTTTATAATTTAAAATAGTATCTTATAGTCTAAAATAGTATCTTATAATCTAAAATAGTATTTTATAATCTTATAGTCTAAAATAGTATTTTATAATCTTATAGTCTAAAATAGTATTTTATAATCTAAAATAGTATTTTATAATCTAAAATAGTATCTTATAATTTAAAATAGTATCTTATAATTTAAAATAGTATCTTATAATCTAAAATAGTATCTTATAATTTAAAATAGTATCTTATAATCTAAAATAGTATTTTATAATCTTATAGTCTAAAATAGTATTTTATAATCTAAAATAGTATCTTATAATCTAAAATAGTATCTTATAGTCTTATAGTCTAAAACAGTATCTTATAGTCTTATAGTCTAAAACAGTATCTTATAGTCTTATAGTCTAAAACAGTATCTTATAGTCTTATAGTCTAAAATAGTATCTTATAGTCTTATAGTCTAAAATAGTATCTTATAATCTAAAATAGTATTTTATAATTTAAAATAGTATCTTATAATCTAAAATAGTATCTTATAATTTAAAACAGTATCTTATAATCTAAAATAGTATCTTATAATTTAAAATAGTATCTTATAATCTAAAATAGTATCTTATAATTTAAAATAGTATCTTATAATCTAAAATAGTATCTTATAATTTAAAATAGTATCTTATAATCTAAAATAGTATCTTATAATTTAAAACAGTATCTTATAATTTAAAATAGTATCTTATAATTTGAAAGAGTATCTTATAATTTAAAATAGTATCTTATAGTCTAAAACAGTATCTTATAGTCTTATAGTCTAAAACAGTATTTTATAATCTAAAATAGTATCTTATAATCTAAAATAGTATCTTATAATCTAAAATAGTATCTTATAATTTAAAATAGTATTTTATAATCTAAAATAGTATCTTATAATTTAAAATAGTATCTTATAATCTAAAATAGTATTTTATAATCTTATAGTCTAAAATAGTATTTTATAATCTAAAATAGTATCTTATAATCTAAAATAGTATCTTATAGTCTTATAATCTAAAATAGTATCTTATAGTCTTATAGTCTAAAACAGTATCTTATAGTCTTATAGTCTAAAACAGTATCTTATAGTCTTATAGTCTAAAATAGTATTTTATAATTTAAAATAGTATCTTATAATCTAAAATAGTATTTTATAATTTAAAATAGTATCTTATAATCTAAAATAGTATCTTATAATTTAAAACAGTATCTTATAATCTAAAATAGTATCTTATAATTTAAAATAGTATCTTATAATCTAAAATAGTATCTTATAATTTAAAATAGTATCTTATAATTTGAAAGAGTATCTTATAATTTAAAATAGTATCTTATAATCTAAAATAGTATTTTATAATTTAAAATAGTATCTTATAATCTAAAATAGTATCTTATAATTTAAAACAGTATCTTATAATTTAAAATAGTATCTTATAATTTGAAAGAGTATCTTATAATTTAAAATAGTATCTTATAGTCTAAAACAGTATCTTATAGTCTTATAGTCTAAAACAGTATTTTATAATCTAAAATAGTATCTTATAATTTAAAATAGTATCTTATAGTCTTATAGTCTAAAATAGTATCTTATAGTCTAAAATAGTAACTTATAATCTAAAATAGTATCTTATAATCTAAAATAGTATCTTATAGTCTTATAATCTTATAGTCTTATAGTATCTTATAGTCTTAACTATGACTTATCTTGTCTTGCACTTTAACTTATGTCAATACTGTCCATTTACATTTACATTCAATCTTCCATATTTAATCTTCCTATTTAAGACTAGTAATGCTTAGTTAAATCCTGGTTGTATATATTCACATTCTTATTTTTGATAATTTTTAGTACTTATTTACTTTGTATTTAATATTATATTGTGTTTAGATTTTAAAATATTGTGTTTTTTTTCACTCATATTGTGTGTTTGGACAACCTGCTGCTGTAACGCCACAATTTCCCAGTCAAGTCAAGGTAGTTCAAAATTTCTCATGCACGATACAGAGCCCGTCTGGAATTAAGGCAATGCTGCCATCTTGTGATGACTATCCATGATTGAAATATTTTAATTTACAGTGTGGCTCCAATTTGTTCCACAAGGAGGCGTAACCTCCAAGTGAGACAGCAAGCAGCAAAAGAAAACACACCTGTTGCTATTATTTCCATAAATGTCACAAATCACATACATGTGGTCTGGAACTGCCGGCGTTCAGGGAGCACCCGCTGACCGAACCGATGAACGACCTCTGGAAGAGGAAGTGCCCTGACCACGACGAGATATACAGGTAGGAGGCACGCTGCGCTCACATATTGTTGTGTTTATATTTAAAAAAAATGTGGTTGTAAAAAAGAATCAGTTTTTGTCACCGCTGTCATGTGTGTCACTCCAGGTACTACTGCATGGATGACAAGGTGTGTGTGTGCAACGCCTGCACCATCGAAGGAGGTCACCTGGGACACACCATCAAGACCCTGAAGAACACCATGAAGGATCTAAAGGTAGACTTTTCATTATCATGGTTTCTGCTCATAGAATCAGAGTCTGAATTATTATTTCTCTCATAGTGATAATTATTAGGGCCTGACTGATATGTGATTTTTGGGGCCGATATCGATATTATGGAGAAAAAACATCCGATACCGATGTCTTTCTTAGTTTTATCTTCGATCCGTAGAGATCCATATACAGATTTATTGCTTTGATCCCTTAAAGAGCAGTTATCAAACACAACTGTAAAGTAAATGAGCATGTAGGTGAATCACAGCTTGACACTCTGGAGAGTGATGATGCTCGTCGTATCCACACAGCAAACGTTTCTGGTGACAGCTAGATAGAGAACTGCTAGTGTGATACAACGATACTCAAATGAAATGTTGTTTCACCGGTGAAAAAAATCGACGAACATCTGCACATATCTGTGACAAAATAAGCCGATACCGATATTCACTTGATTGGCTAATATCGGCCGATATAAGCGACCGGCCGATTAATCTGTCGGGCTTTAATAATTAATGATTCATTTAAAGCTGCTGTGAAAAACATTTAGTTTGTGTTGATTTTTGGTGCCACTTGTGGACAAAGTAGTTCTTTTACATCCTGTCCTGCTTGTGTTTAAGAAGTGTTTTCACATCCTTCACTCCCAGTCGTCTGACACCTACCCTGTGGCATCACTTATAGACATTAATGATGGTGATATAGAAATATTACATCTTCTTACTGATGGTTTCATTTGATTTTGCAGCTCATAAAGACGCATCAGTGTTAATTTCAGTCTGTTTCATAACAACTAAAAACTCCTCACAGGAGCTTTAAAAAGTATTTAAGAGGTTAGACACAAACAAATAGGAGGAGGAGTCTGCTTTATTGATTTTAACCTCCTTCTGACGTTCAGCTCCCACACAGTCCTGTGATGAGTCTAGAATACTTGTGTGTGTGTGTGTGTGTGTGTGTGTGTGTGTGTGTGTGTGTGAATGAGTCACGTGATCCACATCCTGTGCTCTGATTGTCCTGCGCACAGTGTGCAGCTGAGAGGCTTCCAGGTTGTTGCCATGACTTCTCTGTTCAGAAACCGGTTCAATGCTACAAGCTGTTGAACTTCACGTCGGGTTTGAGTGAACGTTAACCAGGCTTCTTTTTTTTTCTCCCAGCCTTACTTTGAGATAATTTAACATCTTTGAACAGCAGTTTGGTATCAAAACAGAACAGGTGAAGCTTTATTATTCAGGGGAGGATGTAAAAAAAAAAAAGCAAAAGCAAACAAGACCATCAGCGACAAGAAGTATTCTACATCATTGTTGTTAACATGCTGTGCACATGTGTTACGACCTCTTTATGTGATTTTACGACTTTCTGCGAGTCTTATTGGTGTGAATGTTTCCTCTTACTTGAGCCTCAATCAAAGGCAATCTTTCTCTCGCTCTGTGATAGAGGATAAAAGTTTTTTTTTTAATCTTGCCTTGACTTTAGAAATGCATGTGTTGTTCAGCAGGGCACGCTGGATAAACAGCTGTACAGAGTGGAGAGGAAGTACAGCATGGCCGAGAGAAAGCTCCAGGAGCAGAAGGAGAAGGAGAGGCAGAACAAGGTAAGAGTTCACGCACTTTGACAGTGTTTTTGAACGTAACCTGGATGTCTACCGACTCACAAAAAATGTGAAATAAACCCATCCAGTCCTTTTGTTTGTGGTCTGCATAAGTCTTATAACACAGAGAAAAATGCTCTGTTTCAAATGTGCTCTCCTTGTGATGTCACAGTGGGATTCTGGTCCCCTGGTATCTCCACCCATTGACTCCACCCCCCCAGCCTAGAGCAAAACTTTTGCGCTGGTCCGGCATTTTCGCTACAGAGGAGTGATGTCTACTGGGAAAACTCAGGGGGCGGGCTCATTTCATTTAAAGAGACACACACACCAAAACGGAGCGTTCTGAGAGAGCTGGTTTATACAGGGTCACAAACCTCCTCTGGTGCTTGAGTCATGTTATATTTTGAACAAAGCACAGCACAGATGTTTCACTTAGACCACCAGGGGACTGTTTGAAAAGGTGGAGAAGGGGGAGAATAATTCCTCTTTAAAATAATGTCCATCACAATCAGCCCTTTTCCTTCTTCACCTCCCTCATCCAGAAATTCATGGACGACTCGGATCAGGGCCTGGCCCGGCTGGGAGACGAGCTGAAGGCCAAAGTGCTGCGCTTCGTCGGCAGGCTGCGGGAGTGCACGCGCACTCACTGCGACACCAACGGGCCGGCCATCCAGAAGAACATCTCCAGGATCTGCCAGGACCAGGCCCCGTCTGCAGGAGGTGCGCTGCGGCATTGAGAGCCTCATGCAGGAGAACGACCCTTTCCACTTCATCCAGGTGAGACAGGTGGAGCCTTTCCCACAGAGTACACAGAGTACTGTATTACGGTAAAGTACCGCTTTTTATGGAAAGCTTTTTGTTGTCTCCAAACATCTCTTTGTGTTTCTCTTCTCAGGCCTACAAGACAACAGGAAAACAGTAAGCACGCCTTTTATCATTGTTCCTGGCTGCAACTAACTTTTATTGTGTAATGGATAAAACTTCTGATTCTGTTCTCGATTGATCCATTAGTAATGTCTGTAAAGTGTTGTTGGGTCCTGCGGCTCGACCAGTTCACAACCACTGATCTAAATCAAGTCGGATATCTGACAAGCTGCATGATCTTTATCTACAGAGTTATCAAAATCAATCAAATGATTCTTATTCTTGATGTGTCTATATTCTATGTAGAGATAGAAAAACGATGAATATCTTCATGTTATATACTGTAGAGTCTGTGTGTGTGTGTTTAGGTGTCGTAGGCAGCTGAGGAAAAACATGTTCTATCCAGAATATGTGGACATGGAGACCGAGGTTCTCGGGGTGATGATGGAGGAAGAGATGAGGAAGTTCCTGGTTGAAGAACTCCCTGGTCATATTGTCGCAGCCATCAGCACGTTGTGTAAGAAGTCTTCATTTGAATTACACATCCTCTGATGTCCCTGTCCAAAAATTATATAAACTATTAACTTCAGCTAAAAATTGTGTAGTGTTCATTAGAGCCCGACTGATTAATCGGCGCACAGTCAGGGCCCCGGGGCTTTTATTTCTGTTGCCGTGGTATCGATATTGTTTTTGTTTTTTTACGAGAGCTTAATGTTAATGAGTTTTCCGATTCTTTTTTTTTTCCCTGTCCACTCATCAGGTCATCTTTCAGATCTAGAAGAGGAGGAGGAGGAGCAGGAGGAGCAGGAGGAAGAGGCGGCAGAGGAGGAGGAGGATGACGACGACGACGACCTGGACGACAGCAGCGTGGAGGAGATGAGGAGCGAGGGGGAGGAGGAAGACGAGGAGGAGGAGGACGACGAAGACGACGGACAGGACCGGAGCGGGCAGGTCGACGATCTCTACAGCCCGGGGGAGGAGGAAGAGGAGGAGGAAGAAGAAGGGGAGGATGAGGACGACGAGGACGAGGAGGAGGGAGAGGACGAGGAGGAGCGAGGGGTTTGACGGAGGACTTGAAACTTAAATTTTTTACTGAAGCACTTTGGCTCTGATCTGTGTAACAGATGTTCCTGATGTTACACACGGCTTAACTCTGAATGTCCCTGTACGGTTACAGACTCGAGCAGCTAACACATTTTTGCCTCAAACCCGACTGGATACACTGGATGAGGACTTAGCTGGACGCTAAACTAACACGCTCTGAGAATCTGCCAGTGTGAATCTTCCGCTTAACCTTGTGTCGCATACTGCTGAACCTCATTAAGGTGCTTCGTCGTCGAAGACCTCGCTGCACACGTGCACACACCTGAATGTGAATGTGAAATACTAGAATGTGGCGGGAAAGACTCAAAACACTTTAGGTGAATTTGGTGAAACCTCTGCATGCCTGTGATGAGAGATTTTCTACCACTTTGCGAAATATTTTACAAAAATATGTGCAATTTGCCGAAGCAGTATTTACAAATTTGATCCAAGATGTTTTCCCCGGAACTTTTTTGATACAAGAGGTGCTAAACAGAGAGAGCTTCAGTACGCCTACCATTACTTAAAAAAGAATTCAAGTCCTTGAACGGCCCAGTTTTTATCACCATTGAAAGCCTTTTGATAGGAACAGTATTCTTGTAAACATGCTAACACGTTTGCCCTGGATAAGAGCAAACTATTCTATTAACAATCTCCTTGAGTGGAACTGCAGGTATGCATTTGTTTTTGTTTTTTTTCATGCTAGTTAAACATTGCAAGCCAAAGAGTAAGGATGTGTGCGTGCATGGATCATTTGAAGTTTGTTTGCTTGGCATGACGCTAGAAAAAAAGAAAAATGCAATGTGTCAGTAATAACCGTTTCCATAGGCGACAGGTTACCTTGCTTTTCATAGATGTGCTTTAAAAAAAGTAGTTGATGCATTATTTAAAAGAAGTGAAATATTCCTATGCACAGTTCATACATTATTCTCTAAATATCCGTTTTAGGCGATGGGACGTTTTGCACTTTCCTTTAAAATAAAACCTACTATGTAAGGCCTGATATCTTTGAATGTTGAAAATGGAATATTATTTTGATACAAGTTCAAAAGCTAATAAATGATAATAAAGTCTGTTGAAATGTGCACTCGCATTCAGTGTTTCCTTTGCAAACTTAACAACAGTAGAGGTAAGGACTTCCTTGATAGTCGGACTGATCTAAGATTTAAAAAAAAAAGTCACTGCTCATATGAGAGAAGAATCCAATGTAAAGAAAGAAAATGTAATAATTTAAATATTAAACGCACAGTATGTAAAATCCGCCGCTAGGGAGCTCTCAATCAAAACAATAACAAAATATGACGTCGAGGCTCCGAGTGAACTCAGCACTGGCTTTATAAGCACTGAGGTAATAAGAAGCTTCACCAGGGCAGAGCTGGAGACAACGGAAAGAGAGAAGGGACAAACAGCAAAGATAAAAACATACAGTCGTAACACTAAGTAGAAATGGATAAAAAAAGCATTTATGAACTGTTTAGTTGTGTATAACTAAGCCAGCAGCAGACCTTATTTTCCGGGTGAATTCCTGTCTTGTTGCCTCACATGGTTGTGACTTGTTTTCTCTGAATTCTGAGTTTGAAGTCAGAATTATGAGGGTAAAAAACAGAACAAAAAAATAAAATTGTGGTATCTTACAGTCTTTAATAAAGCGTTGGTATTTTCAGAGGGGGAAAAAAGTTCCAAGCTTGAAAAGTTTAAGTAAACGCACCACGAACAATACACTTTTTTTATCACATCAGAAGTTTAGTATTTTATTTTATTTTACGTTGTAACCATTATGTGCAAGAGTGGCCGACATAAGTTATCAGTGTCATATCTTTGTAAGACCATGTAGTTCCGCATCAACATCAAAATAACACTTTCAAAAAGACATGACAGGAGTCAAAATGTTGATGCGATTAACAAACCTCAGAAAAATACAAGCGTGTTAGGATTTCTCTTTTTGCTTACTTTTTCATCTTGGCACAAGATTTATTTAAGCATCCTCTCATATCAGATAAATATTACAGGTTAAAAAAACATTAATAGATTTTATGTTGCCTATTTAACCTTGTCTCGATACATCTTCCGCATGATGTCAAATCACTGCATCATTATGGTCTACGAAATGACTTTATAATGTTTTCTTTTCCTGACTTAATGTGTGGCTAAGATATGATGAAATGGAAGTTGTTAGCATTACGATAACTACCAATCAGATGTGAATATCTTATTTATATTCATATTATTCTGTTAAAAAAAGATGGCTTGAACATTAACATCCGACTCCAGCTGATCATACGTCAAGTAGTATAGATGCTGAAATGTAGAAAATAATGCAAAACACCAAGGCACCTTTCGGCATCAATTTAGTTTAATTCACAAAAAAATCTCAAAATCATTGTTATTTGATTAAAAAAAGCTATAAATGATTTCCAATTACATGCATTTCATTCATTTTCACAATATGATTCTTCAAAGGATAACATTGATCTATGTCACAATACACAGAACAGATTAGAACAACCAATAAAACCAAGAACAAAGATGTATAAATACGAATAAGTCGAATAGACTCTATAAAGGAAAGTTACCTCTGTGAAAAAGTAAGTTTATCTAAGGAGAAAAAAACTTGACTAAATATTTGAACTGAACAAAGTTTCACTACTCTTTTGTCCCAGCAGCATGCTGTACCTAAGACGATTTAACTCCACCTCTTTGGCCCAAGTAAATATATTACAGCAACTACTGAATGGGTTCCCATGTAATTATTAACAGAATAATAGGGTTAAGCCGAACCAACTAAAATCAAGTTTAAATAAGAAATGCACTTACATCGATAAAAAGTTTAATCTCTATTAAAGTCCCAAAGTGTTCAACATCTAAAGTATCCCTGCCCCATCACATCTGGACATTTCCCCCCCCCCACGAAGACAACTGGACCTTGAATGGTTAAGCCAAGATAGAAACGGCTCTGCGCTGAACCATATGATTCAACCTTAGTTGGAACCCAAATCCCTCCAAGAAAAACAGACATTTGCTGGCCTGTTTCCTGTGGAGGTGTGAGCTGAGTCCTAACTGGAAGAAGGATGTCTTGTATCTCTGGGACTTGCCACACTATCCCTTTGCTCCACAAGTCATTGATCCGGTTCCATTTCTTCTTTGTTCTGTTGTGTTGGCTATCAGCTAGCTCAGCATCGACCTTTCTCACCACAATAGCGTCCAACCTTGATTTGTGAATCCACTTGCTCAGTCCAGAGCCCTTTCCCAGAAAAAAGAGAGGCACAAGGTATCGACCTCGGAGGTACTTGGCATACCCAACTCTCTCAAATGCTTTCTCCATGAATGTGATGTGTTGTTGCAGATCAGGTCCAATCATCACGTCAAGCGACAGTTGTGCAGGCTCTCCTTCTGATTCCTGTTCCTCATTTCTGTCCTCATCCTCCCAGGTCTCGTTGTCTGACCCGTTGTCCTCTGTTGCCGGTTGTTCCACTTCCTCATCCTCTTCTTCAACCAACTGAGGATGTTCCTCAGGCCAAAACAACAGCAGCACCAAAAGGTAAAACTCAGGGCTTCTACGCCCCACTTCAGTGCCCAAGAATCCGGACAGAACGGTCTGGAGTTCATTCACAGGAGTGAGTCTCGGGGAGTTATGCATCTTGTTGCTCAAGATGATATTTGAGAGAATGTACCTCCCAGCTGCTTCGACATCTCCAACATCTGCCTCATAGGTGGTTCTCAAATCGTCGCAGATTGCTTCTAAATCAGCGGTGGTTTCCTGCGCCTCGGTGAACTCGGCGCGTCTTCCCATTGACGTGAACAGGCCATGATTCAAATGCTCCAGGAGGCCTGGAAAGCTGGTGGAATCCGCTGCATCTTTTCTGGTATAGTGTTTGTAGCAGAGAGCAACGTCTTTCCAGAAGTAGGCGGCTCTAAGGTTGTCTCGTCGGGCTTGGAGTAGCCAAGGTACCATTCAAAAAAGCCAAATTTGTCTTCAACTTCCATTTCCAACATGTGGAGGTGTGTCTGTCGAGGATCACGGTTTATCCTTTTGAGTTTCTCAAAGGCTATCTTTGCCACTTGGAGGAAGCCAAAAAGTCCTCTGTTGTTAAATGTTTTTGAAATGTTTACGATGTCCGCTGAATCTATCATTTCAGGCCCTACTTCGTTGTCAGCTTTTGTTCCCACATCTTTAAACACCGTCAAGGCCTCTCGAGCCATGTCTAAGATTTCCTCCTGTTGATTGGCTGTCCTCAGTAAACGGTTCTTGTAAACGTGGCCAAGAGTGTCAGCCACATAAGAGTTGTTTGGAGCTCTTCTAATGGCTGTCTTTGCCCAAGTTTCAGCTCTGGCATAGTCCACAATACCTCTCTTTATGTAATAGAAACGGGAAAGAGTTTGGGGATAGCTGTGGTTCTGTCTCATTATATTGATGCGGTTTTCAAGACAGAGATAGCGTTGTGAAAATTCTCCTGCTCACATATATCTTCAACAAACCGTGAGAACTTCTCTTTGCCATTTTCTCCCATTTCTCTCTTGGTCAGTAAATCTTTGATGAACTGTACTGTTGTTGGTTGGGCCTCATCTCTGCAGAGTAAATCCATGAATCTCTTCACAATATTACTCCTTGAAATTCCTAAGTCAGTGAGTAGCTTTAATGCTATATTTGTAAACAGTGGTTCAATGCAAATGTGGTCAGGGTTTGGACTGGATGTGTTTATGAAGTTGATAAAAGGCACCATTCTTTCTTCAAAGGGGGGACCTCCATGGATGGGATCAGGAGGTCCAAGGATCTTTTGACACTCAGACATCAGAAGAAAGGACCCAGGAATGTAGGTGTTCAGCAGCACCAGAAAAGAGAACAGTTTCGTGTTGGTGGAGTTTGGGTTTTGTCTCACATACTCTCTGACATCATTCCAATATTCCTCCAATGTCATCTGTTCACCATCTGAAGAGGTTCCATCTCCGCTGTCAGATGACAACGTTTCTGTTGAGTTGTGATCCATTTTTTGTCTTCACTTCT